CAATGTCATCACCAACCTTTTTTGGAGACAGACCCAGGGGGCCGATCTTGGGGGCCAGAGCGGAAGTGGCACCGACTTCCCCACCGGTACACCTCAGGTACACGACTTTAATCTCGTTGGGGTCGAACTTGGGCGGCATGGCGGAGGCGGCTGGTGTCGGATGAACCCGGATGCGGGACGACCGAAGAAAGTTGCACCGAAGCCTCCTCGAACCGAAAGCCGAAAGCAGCAGTGTATTGTTGTTGTGTACCATTGCGTCAGAACAGACCCATAGCTGACCCTCCGGTGGGTTTTTGGAGGTGGCTGATCACACGGGAGACTGCCCGTCCACTGCAAGCCTTGCCTTCTCGCACAGAGCTGCCATCAAGCTAAGGGACATGATAGTTTTAGTCTGGCAGTTTGTGTGTGGCTACTAAGTGGAAGATGGGTCGTTCCCATTCACCCAGACACCCAGAGAGAGACCAAGCAATCTGCTTCCACGAAGATGACAGTCAGGAAAAGCTCGCGGGGCAGTTCTACTCCATCCTGTAGGGCAAATGGCCTTGATGGCACACAACACACACAGCAGGAAGGAAGCAAAGTGTCCACTACTGCCCGAGCCAGTTGCAGACCCTGCTGCTTCCCCAAGGCTTTCGTGTTCTACCCCCTCATAAGCAGAGGCACCTTGTTGTTCTGGGCCATTGAGTTGGAAATGACTCATAGCTGGCCTTCAGAGGCTGTAAATCACACAGCAGGGTTAGGGTTAGATTGCCCATCTTATTCCTGCAGAGCAGCCGATGGATTTGAACCCTGTGCCTTTAGGTTGGCAGCACAACTCCTTACCCACTAAGCCACCACAGCTCCAATCCTACAGCCGTTAGTTCTAGGGCATCTTCAAGGACGTTTGTAATAGCAACCAGAGAAGGGTAGGCAGGTCTACTGCTCATTATCTATGATCAGGGTTCCCTGAGCTTAGGGTTCTTCTTACAATTCATGTAGCCAGACAACTAACTAAGCAGGCCCTGCAGAGACTGGGGCTTAGGGAACCAGCACAGATGCTAATCCTCTATTGCTGTAATACACTCTCCTTTGTCCCTGACCTAGCCTTTTCACGACTCTTGCCAACATCTATGAAAATGTGAGATGCGAACTTGACAGCTTCCAAATAGGGGAAGACTCGTAGCTTAGTGGTAAAGAACTGTGTTTGCCAATCAAAAGGCACATGGTTCAAATCAAAACTACTCTTTGGGAGAAAGATGGGCAAACTCCTGCTAGATTTACTGCTTCTGAAAACCCACTGGAGGGCCAGCTATGAGGCAGGTCTGACTTGATGTTCTAAAACCACATAAGAAAAGTGCCTCAGACCCTTCATAGTCTTTGGGACACATGTGTTCCTTTATGAATCCAGAGCTCTAAATGAAGTCTAAATCCAGCCAACCAAAAGGACCACTGGCTTATCACACACACACTCACACACAAATAACCGAGTAAACATCACTAGGTTGGAGAGCCCTTTAATAGTCTACACATTAATGCAATTTTATCATCACAATATTTTGGATCATTTCATGGTAACAATATTGAGTAATTTTGATAATAAAACACAGAGGAGACTTATTTCCCTGCACAGCACAATTTTGACACACATATGGAAATTCCTCACATCTGCCCAGTTCTGGCTCAGAACAATAGATAACTTGTATGTCTGACTTGTGTTTTACCTATTACTTCAAACAGAAACTGGAAAGTTAGGAGTTATTTCTTGCCCAGTGGAGCAGGCGGAGAATCTGGTTTCCTGGCCTACAGAGTTTGGACAAGGACTTAAAGCAATGATGGTTTGAGGTCACCAAGTCTTGCACCACCCCTTTGGAGACACCAGCAGCTCTCCTATCTGTGAGAAATGGCACAGAAAACAGCACCGGAAGGGCTGCAACACAAAGGACTGGGACTTCCAAAGAGTTTGCTCCAGTCTTAACGTTCTGTGTTGTTGGTTGTTTTTTTTTTTTTTTTTGGAACAAGGGCGTAAGTCTTTGGAAATGGGGTATGCGTGGGTCTCGGAGGTGATCAGAATTCCTTAACTGTCCCATCTGCTGCCCTGGACTCACCAGCAGAGCCTCCGTGGATTCTGCTGGCAGGTCCTCCCTCCGGGGCTTGCATGTGTCAGCAGTGACAGAGAGAAGACTGGATGCCACTTGGTGGTGTGAAAGGAACCAACCACTCCTCACCGAACAACAGATGGGCGTCTGACGGCCTGAGTGGGGAGCAGACTCCTGACGGGGCAGCCTCACCTGGACAAACTGGGGGATGAGAGAAGGACAGACCAGAGGGTGAACAGAGCTAAAGGGCAAAGCGAGACGCAGGAGAAAGTTGGCCCTGCGGTCTGGAATCAGGCCAGGGTCCTCCTCCTTGGCCAGGGAACTCAACAGGGTATCTGTCTGCTCTTAACTTTTCCAACAAACTTGGCTTTTTAGAAGAGCCCCTTGGGTTTTCTTTCTACAACCCCTCCCAGTGCCCTCTGGCTTATCATTTATGCAGTATTTAAAATAACAGCTCGGTGAGCCTGTCCACGGCTTTTGCGCCAAGGCCCGAGAGTCCCGTTCACCAGAGAAAACTGGTACAAGAGTCCCCCCAGGCACAGCCTCCAGGGTTGGTGACAGTAGGGCAGGTCAGCTTCCTTCCAGGATTTCGAGGCCGTTTCTAGAGCTTCTCCTCTTGTTCTCCAGTACCGTCCAAGGAACATTTGTCTAACTCACCTCAATCAAAGCCACTTTAAAGAAAATCATTTAAAAGTGATTCATCGATAAAAATAAATCCCAAAACACTAATTACTCAATTTGCAAACAAATCCTTGTTATTCCTGACTATCCTCTAAGGTCATTGTGAAAACAGAGCAAAGGCCTGTCAGCAAGACCAGAAACTCAGAGACTGGTTAAAACACAGCCCACGTTTCGTTCAGCCCCCCTAAATGAGAGGGGAGAGAGGGGCCAGTTCAGCTTCTGTCCCTTCTCTGTGTAGTTGTGGTTTCACAAGCCTGAACTTGGGGGGAAAATAAAGCAAATAAAAAGCAAGCAGCCCCAGCCAAGTGGCAGCCAGTCCAAAGATTCCCAGAGATCGGATTTAACCACAACAGCAAAGGCAATCAATCCACAGCGCCCATGTGTGCTTCCTTCCCGAGACTGATGCCAAGTCAGCAGCCGCCTGGCCTCAGGGTGAACGTGGGCCTGAGCTCCCGCGCCTCCAGCGTCCGCTTGTGCTGAGTGGGAGGTGACGTGGGGCGTGCAGCCGCCACATCCCCCTGGCTGCAGGGTGAGAGACCCCGCAGGCCCACCAGGCCCTCGGGTGGGCTAAGGCGCCAGATGACAGTCAGGCCTTTCTTCCTGCTGCTTCTCACAGAAACACCAGGTTGTACTGACCTCCCTGGGGTACGGCAAGCCTCTGCAAGGCACAGGTGGCCGTCAAATCTTGCCCCTGAAGCATTCCCTTAGCTCCTGCCACGCCGGGGGAGGCAGAATAATGAGATGCAGAAGGCAACAGTGTGCTGATTCCAAACCGGCTCTATTCCCAGCTGCCCTGCTGGACCAGTCGAGCCTGTGTGGATGGAGCTGGTGACCCCTGACACACCAAGGAAGGTATCTGAGGGGTACGGCCAGACCAGCCCCAATCTGTGATCAGGTGAAGATTTATCTTACCTATGAGGTATTTTTTTGGCATGTGTGAGAGTCAAGAGTGGGTGGAAACGGTAACAGACAAGATAGAAAGCAGTGTACCTTATACTGGTTTCTTCAAACATGACGTCCGTGCCACGAATTGGGCAAGACAGAAACCTGGGACATGAGTAATAACTTATCTCAAGGTGCGCCTTTCCACGCTGGTGGAGCGAGCTCTTACACACAAAACTCACCCTGGCTTAAAAGGGCTCCCTGTCCAGGTGCAAGCCGGACTGCTCCGAAAGCCGCATCACGAAATAAGCGGCAAACAGCCGTGAGAGATGTCCCCACATGGGATCCTGAGGCCTGCCTTTGCAGGAGCAGCTCCTGAGTGGCAGACTCCCGAGATCTCCAGAGGGGAACGCGTAGTGAGGCAGGAGAGGGAGGCCTGGTGCCCGCACCGAGCGCTTCCCCCAGCAAGCATGGCTACAGCTGTCCAAGAACCAGAGGTGCCCACGGGCACACTGTTGGCGCACAAGGAGGAAAACCTGCTTGCTTACTGCCAAGATTCACTGGGGCTCGGTTTCCCAAGTACATTCTCCCGAAGAGACAAGTCGAAAGTGAGGACTCCCTTCTCACCAGAAGGCAACTCAGCTTTGCAGCCATTCTGAAGAAGAACTGAAATTCTGGGGAGGAAGGGAGGAAGTCTTAAATTATGGGTGTGAAAAAGACAGAAGGGGAAAGAAAATGGGAAAGATGGTTCCTGGAAGGTTCAAATGGTCTGCATTTAGAAACTAACTGAAACGTTTGAGGTTCAAATCCACGCAGAGGTGCCTCAGAAGAAAGGCCTGGTGATCCACTTCCAACAATGCAACCACTGGAATCCATGCAGAGTGCAGTTCAACTGTGATGCACATGGGTCACCATGTGCCCGAGTCAATTCAAAGGCAACAGGTGTGTGTGTGTGTGTGTGTGTGTGTATTTCCTAAAGAGTGAACACATCAACTGAACTCTTTCCTCAGATGATTCTGTGAAATCGGTTCAAGGTGAAGGTCTCTTTCTGAAGCATGAACTGTGCCCAGCGGGGACGGGAGGTTGCAGAGCTGTGACCTCGCTGTCACACGTCGTGGAGCGTCTTCCTGAGAAATCGGATGACAGTGAGGCAGCAGAGAAAGGCACTTGAAGATCCGAGAGCCAGGCTCGGGTGTGTCACCTCCCTGGTTGGGAGCCTGCACGTCCGTGTGGGAAGCTGTGTGCTGGTCCTTCCTCTCCACCGGTCCCGACCTCACATCTAGGAGGCCACTGGGGATGAACCGGCCACGCGAAGGTCCGGCTTTGCATCTTCACCGCCAGGCCCGTGCGAGGCGCTGCCGGCTAGAAGTGGTGCTGGTGAAGGGCGGCTGGCGAGGGCCCCTTCTCCAGCCTCTTGACGTGGCAGGAGTGACAGAAGAGGTGGTCCTCCAGCGGGTAGCAGCGGTGGCCGTCCTCGTCATTGAGTTCTAGCCCACAGTCCTGGGGGCGAGTCCAGGATGGGGGGGGGGGGAGGACACAAACACAACAGAGTGTGAGACGGATGCAAAGACCACAAGTTCTGGGCAAGCAGCATATGCTCTGTTTCTACACTTTGGGGGGGCCCCAGTGACCCCGTGTGACACAGTGGAACTGTCCCATGGGTCTTCTGGGGTGCAGTCTTTATGGGGACAGAGCACCACAGCTTTCTCACATGGCGCTGTTGGGTTGAACTGCCAACCTTTCCGTTGGCTCAGTGTTGACACACGGCGCCACCAGAGTTCCTGTGTGGGGTCTGCGGGAACAGAGCCGCTGCCCAGCCTCCCAGGGTCTGCTCCTCCCAGGATGAGGCCACAGGCCTCTCGGTGCCACCGGGCACGTGTAATCACACAAATAAAGTCTTGCAAATGATTTTTACATTGCTCACAGAAAGCTATAATTAGGAAAAACTGGGTTTAATAAAACACTATCATAATAAACAAATGGAATCTCTTTTCCTTTTGTCACAAGATGCATTACTAGAAAACTTTTAAAGTGAAAAGTAACAGATGCAAATAATTTTTATCATGATACCTGATTTAACCCAACACATCCTAAGTGCATCATTTCCACGTGCAATCGAATTAACCTGCGAGTGTGGCTTGGGTTTGTGGCTCTCGAATGGCCACTGGTCAGCGCTGGTCAGGACTCGGGACTGCAATGTCAAGCAAATGTAGTACCTTTTCCCCAACAGTGGGGTGCCGCTGACAAAGCTTCCCAGCTGCTGCTTGAGCGAAGGTGATGGGTTCAGGTTTGTGTGCCATCTGCACCCCTGTCCTCTCGACCCACAGGGTCAGGAAATCTGTCCCTCCTGGGGGTGACGCCACTCCATTCTGGCTACAATGCCACCAGCACTTCAGTGTTTGCCCCCTTCCCAAAGGCTGGGGAGGGGGACCCCTGGCTTTCTCAATGGTGGGTGGCTTCTTCAGCCACAGAGGGACAAAGAGGGGCAGATGGGCTCTCAACCTGTCCACACACCCCGCTGACATGCCTGTTTCAGGGGAGTTCTTCATGATTTCTAAGGCTCACTGGGAAAGTCAGGCGGGAGGTCCTAGTAGCCTGCAGACCAACACAGCGAACCTCTTACTCAACCCCCCACAGCCTGGAGGTTCAGGGAAGGCAGCTGCCAACCAAGGTCTCTGGAGCTGACACCTCTGAGTGTTCAGGCTACAGCAGAGATCTCGGCATCGCGACCATTCGGCTCCTCTCCTGCCCCTGCCCCGTCAGGCTTCACCTCACTGCCTAGGTCAGTTCTGCAGGGAGGGCACACACACTCCTTAGAACCCTGGTCGTCTCCCCCCTCCTGGGCTTACCTCGCAGTGGTAACATTCCACGTGGTAGTCTCTGTCCATGGACACGACACGGATGGTCTCATCTGAGCCCTGGGACGGAAGACAAGCAACAACACAAGAGGTGGTGAGGGGCTGGCCCCTGGGCTTCTCATGAAAAGGGGCTGTGGGAGGATCCTGAGGTGACAACGGGGGCCTCAAACCTTAGAAGGAGCCTGTATCGGACAGTAGTGGGTACCGACACTTGGAGAAAAGAGCGCATGGTCAGAGGAGCAGAAAGTACAATACTACGTTCTGGGATGTCAGACTCAACAATGAATTACAAAATCTATGTGGGCATTTATTAAAAATAATAAAAAGAATATACGCTCATGTTTAATGCTACATTATTCACAATAGTAAAGAGATGGAAGCAACCCAAGAGCCCGTCAATAAATGAATGGATAGAAAAAGTATAGTATTGCACATCCTTGTATATCACGGCTTTGTTCACAATTAGCAAAGGGTTGAAAAGAACCCAGTGCCCATCAACAAACAAATGGATAGAGAAGCTGTGCTATATCCACACAATAGAATCCTATGTAGCACTGAAAAAAGGAACTCATGAAAAATTAAACAAAATGGGTGACCCTGGAGGATGTTATGCGGACGGAGTGAAATATCTCAGTCACAAAAGGACAAATACTGCGTAATACCACTGTTATAAAACAGGACTGACATCTGGGTTGGGGGAAAACTAAGAGGGAATAAATAATGTACATGGCATTGAAACAGATGAGGGAGAGAACTGTTTAAAAGGAATATATGACTAGGTATTATCTGCATGATAAGAGTCTGCATAGCAGAATAAGAGCTGCATAGCAAAGTGGACTGGGGGTGGGGGTTGTATAACAATGAAAGAATTCTTATCAATAGGTGTTTTCCTGATTATTGAAGCAAATGGTGATTGAGGAGAAGGGCACCGGGTGGGGGTGGCCAATCGTGAGAGGACACAGTCGTCTCTGAGTGAGGGTGTTGTTGCTGTTTTGTATCATAGAGTTGGAACTGACCCACAGCTGACCCTCCAGTGGGTTTTCAGAGGCGGTTAATCACAACAAGAGGAATCTGCCCATCTTTCTCCTGTGGAGCAGCTGACAGATTTGAACCATGCACACTGGGAATTGCAGTGCAGGTTCTTACCACTAGGCCACCAGAGCTCCCGTGAGTGCTGTTTAATAGTCGTGAGGACAGGACCCCAGTCTTATAAATGACTTCAGGGAGGTTTCTGGTCTTGGAAAGCCCAGGAACCCGGGGCGTGGTGGAAGCATCTCACCTCAGGTGGAAGGATGGGGAGCCCGCAGGCAGCACACTTGGGGGCCAACACCCTGCAGGAAGAAACAAGGGATCTGTAACACACCATGGTGGGCTTTCTGGGTGAAAAAGCCTGGAAGAAGACTTGTACCCGGAGTCCTCACGCCACCCCACTCCCACCATCTCTCTTCCCCGTGTTCCTGCACCGCTCAGAGAGAGGACCCGGCCCGGTGCGTGTCCCAGCTGGAATGCAAATGTCTGATCCCAACAGCTCTGCTAAGGACGGGGCCTAGTGCGGCCGGGCAAACAGACTATGGCTAAAACCAAGTTGGCGCCAGAGCCTTGTGAGGTGAGATGGGATGAAGCTGGAGCCCCCACGCTCCTCAGCCCTCCGGAGGCCAAGCAAGGACTCTGCTGAGGAGCTGTGATGCTGTTCCTCTTCTCTTTCTGCACACAGGATTCTCTAACCAGCTCCTGCCTGTACTGTCACTGCACGGCGCTCCCCAGGCCTCGGCTACACCCCTCAGGGCTCCAGTGGTGTCGACCACCATCCCCATCTCTCGCTCTGCTGAGCTCCAGAAGGGGTCCCGCGTGGCTCCTCCCCGCCCGCCCCTCCTTACTTGTGGTAATCGCGGACACAGTAGATCTTGTTCTCTGAGTCCACGGTGAAGGGCACCCCGTCCAAACACTCATTGCAGATGACACAGCGGAAACAGCCCGGGTGGTAGGATTTGCCCAGGGCCTGCAGAATCTGGGGAGACGCAGGGCTGAGCATCAGGAGGGTTACGAGGGGACATGAGGGCAGTCACGTGGAGTGGCCCACACATCTCAGACTGCACTCAGCTAGAGGTGGAGAGAAAGGCCACCCTGGTTAGATGCAGAAACAGCTGCAATCCTTCTCCGGCACGTGGCAAACGTCTTACAAGGTCTCTTTTTGCAAAACAGAAGATTGGCTTGTGAAAGAAATCCTACCACCCACAAGCATTGTGTTCCTTTAACAATCATTTCTGTGTGATCAATACTCATTCAAAAGCAAAGACGAGAAGGGATGGGGGCAGAGACACAATAACTGGAGATGGAACAACCAGAAGTGAGGAGAGTCTGGACATGCTGTGAAAGATACAAACATTTACTGAGACAAAACAAAAGAGAGAGAGAGGTGTGCTGTGGCAGCCGAGGGCCATTCCCAGGGCCAACCCACCAAGGAGAAGCAGAAAATGATTTAAGGCCATAATATTCCATCCCAGATCTGGGAGGTGGTGCTAAGTCAGAACCGACCCACTGATGACCATCCAGCAGGTTTTCAGAGGCTGTTAATTAATTGCATTGGAAGAGACTGCCTACAGAGAAGCTGGTGGATTTGAACCATGTGCCTTTGGATTGGCGGCACAACTTCTCTCCACCAGGCCACCAGATCTGGGTAGCAGGAGCTTCGAGAGAGATTAAAAGAAGTTCCACGTAGAAATGGCAATGCTGGCGGAGGGGTGGGAGGGGAGAAAAGTGCAACAATGAATGAACGGAAATCCAAAGTCTGTAAATTTTCACTGAAATTATAATATTAAGAAGAAGAAGAAGAAATGGCAATGCTGAGGGAGCCCTGGTGGCCTAGTGGCAAAGAAGCTGCACTGCAATATCGAAGGTGCGTGGTTCAAATCCTCTAGTTGCTGTGAAGGAGGGGCAGTCTCCTCCTATACCAGTTGTATCTGATTTGATGATACATAACAAGAAAAGGAAAAAATGTAAATAAGTATATAAATAAAATCATTTAGAAAAGAAATGGCAATGCTAAAAACAAAAGCAACCGTGCTTGACTTGTGCGTCCTGGGGCCTCCCTTCTGTCCAGCTTTCTGGAGTTCAGAAGCTACAGCCCAACCCCTGACTGTTTCAAATCCACGAGTAAGCAAGCGCAGCCCCAGTGCCACACCTGTTGTTTCCAAACAACTGACAAGGAAGCCGCCTCCCTCTGCACATCCCTGGAAGTGAACCTAACACCTGGAAGGGCAGTCACCCGCCAACCAGGACAGAGGCAGGAGTGACAGAAGGAAGATAGGAAAAAAGAACCCCCAATGAGCAAAGGGACTCATTCACCAGGCTGCCCAACTTCTCCTCAGGTGAGAGAAAGTACTCTCTGACCTGAGAGGCAGCTCAGCACCACTGGGAACTCATCAGAAGCACATTTTCCAGGCCACCACGGATTTCCTGAATCAGGAGCTCTGGGGATGGAGGCCAGCGTTCCAGCCAGCCAACCACGGGACTCTCAAGTGCACCAAGGATTCAAAGTGACTGGTTTAAGTTAAGGTCCCTGGTAGCACAAACTCTTTATGCTTGTCTAGTAACAGAAAAGTTGGTGGTTTGAAGCCCTCCCAAGGAAAAAAGGTCTGGTGATCTGATTCCATAAAGATCACAGCCAAGAAAACCAGGGGCGTAGTTTTTACTCCGTAGCACACGGGTCAGACAACAAGCAGGTGACATTAAAGCAATTCAGAGCTGTTAATAGTTTACCACTGAAAACATTTTCCCTGGCTCAAGGGACTTCACTTCAGCGGTGATGTGGGCTGCAGAATTCAGAATAAACAACTGAACTATAGAACCAACGATGAGCAAGGAGGCCTCATCCGTGAGAAGGCACAGCCGGGGTCAGCGTGCTTCAGGGGGGTCCAACAGAAATCCACAGAAGGAAGGGGACTTGGAACGGAAGAAACCTTGTCGGAATATCTGAGACCTGTGGGAAAGATATGCTTTGTTCTGGCGCCTTCTACGGGCCCAGAGCTGCCTCGGGACTAAGCCAAGAGGCAAAGGGCAAGAGGGCTCTGCGCTCTTTATTCCTGCTTCCCCTCCAACAACAGTTCTCTGGTTCCTCGGTTCCTCGGTTTCCGGGCTTCCTCCTTCCCTCACGGCGGGTTTCACTGACCTCTGCGCCTCTCTCAATCTGCAGAGAGCTGCCAGAATTGGAAGAACCACCGGCTGGGCTTCCAAAGTCCATGTGGTAACTTGTACCTTTCCTAGTGCATTTCCTGCGCTCTAATGCTGTTCTTGGCAGAAAGACTCGTGAAGTTAATTTCATTCCTGAAGTATGGTATGATGAAGAAGCCATTTCACTCACTCTGGCTCAATGCAATAGAATTTCTTTTTATGTGCAAAATGCCCAGTTCCAAGAGGTAACAGAAGTGGGGGTGGGGGATGGGAGGACAGACAGAAAGCTTAGAAAAGAGCCAGCCAGGGTTTTGCTATAGGATCAGGAGGAGTATCTAAAGCTATCTTTCTTATTAAAATGCTGGGTGGTCGTTATAGAAGGCCTCCCTGTAAACTCAGGGTTACTACCTGCTAGATACAGGGAAAGTGACCTAGAGAAGATGCGACTTCCGGCTCATTCACACACTGCCCTGTGTGGGAGAGAGAGTCTTCAAAGACGACCACCATCGGATCTTTCCTTCCTTGTGTGCACATGTTGATCGTTACCTCAAGAATATTCCGTCTCTAACGGGCCAGCCTTGGTACTTTCTATGATCAAAAGAATAAAGCAGCAGTGATGTTCTGAGACTTCTGAGTAAAGGATTTAAGACCAGCAGCTTCTCCTTCCTCTCCTGGCCTGTAAGGGTGTCCAAGCTAGACTACGGCATGATCAGAAGTGACAGGCTACTCTGGGTGTTCTTATACAACTGTTCCACCAACTGAACACAGCACAGTGAATGCCTCCAGCCAATGCCAGGCGGAGCAGAAGAACCACTGCTGAGCCCGGCCCTCATGCCTGACCCACGGGACCGTCTGACCTCCACCCTGCAATAATTATGGCCTATGAGTTTGTTTGTCTCTGTGAATGCAGGAACGCCTCAGGAGAATGCGGATTCTTTCCTTTGATAAATAAGAAATAATTTTTGTTTTCCACCATTAAGGTTTGATGAAGTTTGTCATGGAGCAATCACTAACTGACTCCCTGCTGTAGAATCAGAACCCACTTGTAACTGTCCCTGTTGGGTTCTCAGAGGCTGTAAGCTGTACAGGAGGAGGATGGGCATCTTTCTCCTTTGGAGCTGCTGGTGGATTTGAACCACCAGAGAGGGGCTGTCTTTGGGATAGCAGTACGGCTCCCTAGAACTACACCTCTTTATCATGCAGCAATAGCTAAATGAAATATCCAGGGCTCCAAGGAAATCTTAAGCACCAAGAACTAAAAAGTTAAATTGTGCTTCTCAAGTTAGGAGACTGTTCACTTCATATGCAGGGAGTTTGTCAGGAGGCCTGGACCATCTGACAGGCACCTGGAGCAGGTGGCAAAGGGTGAGTGGCTCCAACCTGTCTCTCACTGGAGGCCCAAGTCCCCAAGGAGGCCCTGGGGCCAATGGATGCAGACAGAGCTTTTGCAGAAGCAAACTGCGTCTCTAGGGTGGTCTGTCAAAGCATAGATGACAGCAGGGAGTCTTAATGAACAGGCAGAGCTCTGGTTCACCGTTGTTTTAGAAACATGTGTAACCAACAGATCCAGGCGTGGTCTTCACAATTACTTGCTATGCATCGGCAAGGTAGACAATGACTAGAGATGACAGAAGAAGATTGTATGCCTTTGAGCTGTGGAGCTGGAAAAGAGTATGGAATATACCATGAACTGCCAAGAAAACAAATATGTCTGTCATGGAGAGGGTGAGACCAAGTCTATCCTTGCAGGCTAGAATTTTTTTTTTAATTTTTTTTATTTTATTATTTTTTGTGCATTGTACCGTCAAATCAGATCTGACTGGTACAGGAGGAGATTGTCCCTCCTTCTCCAGCAGAGCATCTGGTGGATTCGAACCAGGCACATCTGGGATTGTAGTGCAGCTTCTTGCCACTAGGCCACCAGAGATCCATGGGAGGCTAGGATTTTGAAGCTCCACCTCACTTACTTTGGACACGTGTCCAGTAGTGACCAGTCCTTCCAAGGACATCATGCAGGTAAGGGTGAAGGGACAGTGCAGGAGATGAAAACCCAGGATGAGATGGATTGACACAGTAATGGGGGTAGGTGTGTCAGAGACAGTGAGACTGACTCAAGACAGAGCAGGGTTCAGAGGTACTCTACATAGGATTGCTATGATATGCGCTGTTGTTGATTGCCTTCGAGTTGAGCACGACTCATAGTGAGCCTATGAACAAAAGGCCTGAAGCCTCTCTACAACTATTGACATTTATCAAAGTTCATAGAATTTCCAGAGGCATGTTGTTTAGGAAGTAGATGCCACTCCTGCGTCCAAACCTGTCATCGAATGTTATTGGTTGAGTCGCCTGCGATGCATAGTGACCTTACGAACAGCAGCTCTGAACCCTTCCTTGTCCTGAGCCAGTCTCACTAATTCTGACACTGTCCCAGTCACTGTATCAATCCATCTCATCTGGGATCTTCCTCTCCTATGCTGTCCCTCCACCCTTCCAAGCAAGATGTCCCTCTCCAAGGACCAATCTCTCCTGGCCACGTGCCCAAAGTAAGTGAGGTGGAGCTTCAAAATCCTACCCTCCAAGGAGAGACTTGGTTTCACCCTCTCCAAGACAGATTTATTTGTTTTCTTGGCAGTCCATGGTATGTTCAAGACTCTTCTCCAGCACAACGACTCAAAGGTATCTATTCGTTTACTGTCATCCTTAATGATTGTCCAACTCTCTGAAGCATAACAAGTAATTGAGAAAACCATGTCCTGGATTGGGCACACCTTTGTATCTAGACTGACATCGTTGCTCTTCAGAATTCTGGAGAGGTCCATGACAGCAGATTTTACCAATGCAGTTCATCTTCTGATTTCCTGATTGCTGGTGTTAAGAATGTTGACTGTGGATCTGAGCAAGCTGTAATTGCTAACAACCTCAATCTCTTCTCATCTAATATGGTGCTGCCAAATGGCCCAGTGGTGGGAATCTTTGTTTTCTTAATGTCAAGCTTCAATCCATAATGAAGACTACAGTTCTTGACCTTTTGCAGCAAGTGCTCCATTCAGGTCTTCTTCAGTTTCAGCAAAGGAAGGTTGTGTCATCTGCATATCGTAAGTTGTTAATGAGTCTTCCTCAAATCTTGATGCCACATTCCTCCTCAAAGCCCTGCTTCCCGAATGATCTGTTCTGCATACAGATTGAAAAGGTACAGGGACAGGATACATCCCTGATGTACTGCTTTCTTGATTTTGATCCATGCTGTGTTTCCTTGCTCTGTTCTGAGGACTGGTCTAAGTACAGGTTTTGTATAGGCACGATCAAGTGTTCTGAGATTCCCATCTTCCTGAAGGTTAGTCACAATTTATTGTGATCCACACAGTCAAATGCCTTTGCATAATCAATGAAACACAGGTATACATTCTTCTGGTACTCTCTGCTTTCTGCCAAGATCCATCTGACGTTGGTAATAATGTCCCTAGTGCCATAACCTCTTCTAAACCCAGACTGTATTTCTGGTAGTTCTCTGTCAATGTACTGTTCAAGTCTTTTCTGGATAATCTTCAGCAGGATTTTGCTAGTGTGTGATATTAGTGATATTGTTTGGTAATTTGCACACTCTGTCGGGTCACATTTTCTTGAAATGGGAATAAATATGGATCTCCCTATATAACAACGACAACAGAAATGAGTGTTTATTTCCACCAATGACGTGGAAAACATGTTCAAAGTAACCTTAATGGTAATGGCCTCTAAATGGACACCACCCAAATATTCATCAGCAGGATAAGAGATCCGTAAACTGTAGTGTATCCACGTGGAATGCTGAGCGAGGGCGTGGTCTATAGGAAGTTGGGCTGTGATGCCAAAGGTGGCACCTCTCTGGCTGTTCAAAGTGGCTTCTCAGGAGAGAGACAGGCCACCTGCTGTGCACTTTACAGCCCTGGAAACCTGCAGGCAGGTTAATGGAATCAGTTGGGACTCAATGGCAATGACTCTGAGTGTTAAACTATTGATACGAGCTCGCCACTGGACCAATTAGCAGCGTCAGGATGGATGACGAAGAGATTGAGAGTGTTCACAGCTTCAGTTTGCTCAGCTCCACAGTCAACACTCTTGGTACCAGCAGTCAGGAAATCAAAAAGCATATCGCGATGGGAAAGTCTGCTGTTAGGGACTTCTCAAAGGTCCTCAGGAGCAACAGTGTCTCTCTGGAGACTAAGGTGCGCCTGATACAGGCCATGGTCTTTGCAATCGCTTGTTATGCATCAGAGAGTTGGACAATGACTAGGGAGGACAGAAGGAGAGTGGATGCTTTTGAGCTGTGGTGCTGGAGAAGGGTACTGAATGTACCATGGACTGCCAGGGAAACAAACAGATTCATCTTAGAGAGGATTAAACCAAGCTACTCCTTGGAGGCAAGGATTCTGGGGCTTCGTCTGACATATTTTGGACATGTTGTGAGGAAGGACGGGTCCTTGGAGAGGGACATCATGCTTGGGAGAGTGGAGGGACAGCGCAGGAGGGGAAGACCCTCTATGAGATGGATTGATTCGGTGACTGGGGTAATCGGGATGGGTGTGTCAGAGGCAGTGCGGTTGGCGCAGGATAGAGCAGGGTTTAGGGCTGTTGTGCACAGGGGCGCTATGAGTTGGAAACGACTCGACGGCACATAACAACAACAACGTTAGATTGATCAATGTCCAAAACATGCAGCTGAGTGAGAGATGTCAGATGCAAGAGTCCACCCTGTACAGCTCCACTCACATCAGCTCCAGAACCTACAAACTGAATCAGCAGGATGTGAGGTCCTACCAGCTGATACCTGTGGGAGGAGGTCTCGACTGGGAAGAAGGGCCAAGAGGAACTTCTGAGGTGCAGGGAATGTTCTTCAGCCTGATCTAAATGGTGGTCACATAGGTATATGCTGTTGTCAGGCGCCGTCGAGTATAACTCATAGTGACCCTATTAACAACAGATCTGAACCCTGTCCTGTCCTGGGCCATCCACATCATCTCAGACACACCTGAGCCCACTCCTGCAGTCACGGTGTCAATCCACCTAGTCAAGGGTCTTCCTCTCTTTCGCCATCCCTCAAACCTTCCCAAGCATGATGTCTCTCTCCAATGAATAGCCTCTCCTAGCAACAAGTCTAAAGTATGTGAGATGAAAACTTTATCATCTTTGCTTACAAGGAGCACTATTCCTCAAGACATATCTGTTTGAATTTTTTGGCAGTCCGTGGAATAGTCAGTATTCTCCAACACGACATCAATTCTTCTTTTATCATCCTTGTTTGCTGCAGCTCTCAGATGCAAAGCAAGTGATTGAAGAGGTCTGAGTCAGGTGCACCTCAGTCCTCAAACTAACATCATTGCTCCTCAATAATCTGCAGAGGTCCCTGAGTGGAGAGTTCCCCAGAGCAACATATCTCCTGACAGTGCAATACGTCTCCTGACTATTGGTACAGGGTATATGCGTGTATATACATTAAGCAGGGCTGCACACTTTAGATTTGCTCTCTTCATGTTAAGTGAACTATTTTTCAATAAAAAGTTAAAAGAAAGAAATGAGCCCAAATCTGCAACTGCATCTCCTGGGAGAAGGGACTAACTAGGTCAGCTTAGAGAGAGATTTAACTCTTTCTAACAGAAAGAGTGTCATATAATAATTTTTCCTGACCCTGAAAGGCCATTCTCTGAAGATGAAAAATTTGATCCTTAAAACATTTTAACCCCCAACTAACTCAGTCTCACAAGGATAAATATTGTCTAAAACCGTTACTGTAGAATGAGTATAAGGACCCTAGGGGTGGGAGAGGCTGGAAGCAGAGGGCTGTGGATGTACAGGAGAAAGGGGTGATTAATCACTGGGCTGTACAATTTGATTGGTGGAGGGGTGTGGGAAATTAAAAGAATTTGTTCAAATTTGTATTCAATATTTTTAAATAGACTAGTAGAAAAAAAACACAAAAAAAATTTTTCACTCCCAAGAACGCTGTGCTTATTAATCTCACAGCTCCATCCTATAAGCACTTCAAGATGAAAAACTCTACTGAAGAGACAAACACACAAGGAGACATCAGCAAGCTGAGAGAAAGACACACACACACACACACACACAGACTAGATAAAAATCCGCTTTTTGTTCTCCTGCCTCTGAACATAACAGAAGGTCCCCAAAACTCACCAAAGGACCTGGGCTGAGTGTGGCAGAACATGGGAGTGAAAGGGGAGGAGACAACAGTGTTGCTCTGAGCTTCTGTGGCTGCTTCTAAGGCAGCTGAGATTTCTGCTGTAAAAACGAGCTGTATTTAGGCGAGCTCTAGTGGCGTAGCGGCAAGAAGCTGTAATTGCAATCTCAGAGATGCATGGTTCAAATCCATCAGATGCTCTGCTGGAGGAGGAACAATCTCCTCCTGTACCAGTCAGATCTGATTTGATGGTACACAGAAAAAATAATGAAATAAAATAAATTTTAAGAAAAAAATGTAAAAAAAAATGAGCTGTATTTGGCATCTCACCTGGGACATCACAGGGAAATGAGACAGAGGGCAGTGCGATGTGAGCAGCCCAGAGGAGAAAGGAGCATTGTCAGAAACACGTGCAGTGAGGGTGGCTGAGGATGCTAACAGAAACCAGAATCAACATCAGGGGACGTGTGCTGCGTGCCCAGGACTCGCCTTTTCACAAGAACAGATGGGAACACAAGTGCCTTCTTATCTGAGCCCGTCCCCCTCCCACGCCAGGCCTGTTCCGATCCGCTCCCCTACTCACCATATCCATGATCAGATGTCCACAAAGAAAGCACCTGTCTGCGGACTGCTGGAAGCCGGAGTACTACAGAGCAAAGGGGAAAGAACGTGAAACGCAGGTGAGGAGGGGGAATCGGCCACTTCTCCACCAGGCCTGAGGAACTTCTTGGAAGGACGTGTCACCGTGTGTGGGAATCTCCTTTCTGAGGGAAGGCAAAAAGTCATGAGGAGGGAAAAGGAGCAGTGACTGACTCAGTAAGAGGCTTCAATCCACAGGTCCTCAAAGACACACTCTCTACGATGCCTGGAAACGCCTTAAATCCTCCCACCTCCTCCTCATCCTCGGGGCAGCAATTCTTTATTTCATTTGGGATCCAGTTCTCTCCCACCTCCAAAAAGTTTTTGTGGGGCTGACTCCATGCCCAGGTTCAAGCAGGGCACGTGACTCCTGGGCCAGTCAGGCATCTTCCATTTCTCCAGTACCAATGATTTTGTCCAGGGATAAGCATGTGACCCAAGAAGAGCCAATGAGATCCCAAGAGACTCCAGGTTTCCGGAAGTGGGCCAGGCACTCCTCCTGCTCATGGGATTTGAAACTGGGAGACAGAAACCCTTAAGTGCTGCCAATATTGGGCCACCATACAGTACTTGAGGCCGTGGCTAACATGGTGGGAGGCAGGACTGAGGAGGAAATGACTCCTGAAGGCTCTACTGACATGAACTTCCTTTTTGTTTAACCCAATGTACGTTTGCCTGTTTGCTGCTGGCAAACAAGAGTCATAATGACTCTGTCCTCATCTCTGCAAACCAACCAGAACTTTCTCCAGGGGAAGGCAGAGAACAGGGCTTCCTCCATGCACCAGGAAGCTGGAGGGGAGCCCATCTCCCATTGCTCATCTGAGAAACTCCAGAGCCAGCTCGTGCACTGTGCTGTTTACCGTCCTGCACTGCGCACACGGTCTCCTGCGAGGGCCTGAAGGTGTGAAAAGTGAAGCCGCGCCCTTTCTGCCCTAGGAGCTCAGTCACGGGGGAGAAAGGCCAGCAAACAACCTCAATGCAACGGGCGGGCTGCTCTGCGGGGGCAAGTCCCAGGTATGGCGAGAGCACAGAGAGGGCACATCTCATTGTGGGAGCATGGGTGACAAGGAGGGTTGGGGAAATAACCTGGCAAAGCAGGGGCAGAGGCATTTCACATGGGGTCACGGCCCAAGCCCAGGCATGAAGGTGAGAGTGCCGTGGGTATGCAGGAAATGACGAGTCAGAGCAAGGGACACGGGCTGGCATGGGAGCGTCCCTCGGGCATGCCCTTTACACGGAGGCCCTGGGGTGGGGCAGGGCAGGTGGGAGCTCACCCACTCTCCCCCCACCAGCCGACAGTGGGGAGGGGGCTGCTATGCTGGCTGATCCCCCATGAGAGGAGGGTCTCCTGCGGAAGCCTGGCGGGACTGAGACACAGGGTTCAACGCCCTGATGCACTCAGGAGAAAGGGAAGAGGGAGATGAACCCCAGGTCTCTCGCTGCATGGAGAATGGAGGCCAAGCTCAGAGATAAGACATAAGGCAAAAGGGAGCTCTGGTGGCCAAGTGGCAAGAAGCTGCGCTGTAATCCTGAAGTAGTGAGGTTCAAATCCACTAGATGCTGTGCTGGAAAAGGAGGGGCAATCTCCTCCTGTTCCAGTCAGATCCGACTCAACAGTATACAACAACAACAACAACAAGACACAAGGCAAAATGGTGCTGTCTGCTGTCTGCTTCAGATAAGGGGAGTATGATAGGCCAAGGGAAAGCATGGAGGCCACATCCGGGGGATGGGAGATCACAGCAGCTGGTGCCCAGGGGTGCTGGTAGGGCCGGAGCTCAGATCCAGGAGTTCCTGGCACACGGATGGATTTCCAGCCGGTGGGAGGGGCTGCATCCATGGAGAACAGGCAGGAGTGGAGGGAAAGAGGATGAGTCCTTCCAGAGTAAGGACGGGCCTCCACAGTGTAAGAGACAGTGGGTGACGCACAGCCTGGGAAGAGCGACAGGAAGACGGGCCTAGGGGCCCACAAGCCCGTTCAGGGCACAAACACTTGCAGCCTGTCATTTACAGGTCTCCCGCGAGCATCTGCAGAGGAAAAACCACGACCCCTCTCCCAGCTTCTCCACACCCTGACCCTCTCATCAGGCCTGCGGGGAGGGAAGGGAGGCACTCACCAGGAAGTCTTCCTCACAAAACACTTTCCCGTTGACAAAATAAAAGGCTTTCCCCCTCAGCTTGCGGCCTACAGGAAAACAAACAAAAAAACCACAAAGTCAGTCTGCAGGGAAAAGGGGGCAGAGAAAGGGTAAAATATTTTTAGCAGGCAAATCACTGTCAACTGTCAATAATGGTTTTCTGTTACAGAAAGAGATTGCCCATCTGTTTTTTTTATTTTTATTTTTTCCTTTCTTTTTATTAATTTTAATGAAAGTTACAGACTTCAGATTTCCATTCATTCATTGTTGCACTTTTCTCCCTGCCCACCCCTCTCCCCCAATTCACTCTTCTCTTTGAAAAGTAAAAGAAAAATTCTTTCACTGTTATACAATCTCTCCACCCAAATCCACTCCACTATGCAGCCTTCATTCTGGACTCCTGTCATGACAGTAATACCTAATCATCTTTTTTGCCACAGAGCAGCTGGTGGATTCGAACTGCGTGCATTTGGGATTGCAGTGCTGCTTCTTACCATTAGGCCACCAGAGCTTCCTGTTAGTGTGAAGAGTTCTGGTAGCACAGTGCATAATATGCTGGGGCTGTAAACTAAAGGGTCAGTGGTTTGAATCCACCAGAAAGATGACGCAGTCTGCTCCTATACGATTTACAGGCCTGAAAACCCGAAGGAAGGTCACCATATGTTTGGCCCTGACTTGGCAGCAGAGGGCTTACGTCACTGAAAAACGCTGTGGGTCGTGGTGACGGGCAGACTGAGGCCAGAAGGGACAGCCTGAGCTCTTTGGCAAGAAGATCCAAAGGCTAACTTAGCGATCATCTTATACTCATTCTAGCACTTTCTTTCTGCTTAGAAAGAAGCCAGTGAAACATGTGGTGACCAGACCATGGAGAACACATACAGGAATGAGGGGTCGGGCAAATGCTCTCTGGGAGCTGGGTTTCCCACAGCATTTGGGGACAGCAGCCTTTCAACACAAGCTCAGGGACATTTCTGACAACCTCCTGGAAAAATCCTATCAACTGCTTCCCCTTTGTCTTCTTTATTGTCACCTTTTCTCCCCCTGGACTAGAGAAGGACACGTTGTTGGGAAGGGTGACTTGCTTTCTCGGGTTTGCAGGATGGGGAGGCGGGTGATCAAAGCATCCCAACTCCTTAGATGTAGCTCTAGTTCTCACAAAGCTAGGACAATGACAAGACTATACTTCATCAGCTCCTTTAATCTTTTATAGAGAGACACACAGCGCCATCCAAGGTAAGCAGCACTGTCTTTAGGGAGCACTCTGCTACTCAGAGGACCTCACAAATCTAGGGCACGTCCAGGGCTGAGCACAGAATACACCCAACAAAATAGACTCCACTGCCTCTGAGTCGGTTCAACACATGGTGAACCTCCACTGGGCTTCCAAGGCTCGACCACATCGAGAGGAGACTGACAGTCTTTTTCCCAAGAAACTGTGGGTGAATTTGAACCATCTTAAGAAGGGAGGAAGGTGCAAAACGTGACACCAGAACTCCCTATGGATTCATGGAGATGTCAAAAAAGTAATGAATTCTAAACAAGAGGCAGCAAGTCCCCTGGGACCAGGGTAGGCTGCAGTTGTGGCTGGAGCCACCTGGGGGAGCACAAAGGCTGCCTGAGAACGGCCAGCTTTGAGGAGAGGCCGCTCTGACCCCATAAGCATGTGGTACAGAATGGGAACAGCCTGGGTTCAAAAACTGCCAGGGAATCTCAGCTGAGAACCAATTTTCTTTTTTTTTAATAGAAGGCAGATTATCTCTACCACCCAAATCACAGAAGATCATTAAACATGCAAAGACATTTAAAATCCCGTAATATTCTAAGAAAAGACAAATTAAAACAAGCACGTCTTCAGCAATGACATCAACTAGGATTTCCGACATAATCACAAGCATATTTCCATGAGCTACTGAAGTGAGTCCAAACTGTAAAATCCCACAGGGACAGAAACCTTCAAATGGTTCATTCTCTGGTTCTCGGGACTTGTCAAGAACCTCAGGATTGGGAATGTGGATTAGTATTTACTAAGGTTGCAAACAGCAGCCTGACAGAAGTAGTTACAGGAACTAAAGTATATTTAAATGATGGGATGTTATTTAACCATCTAACTACCATTCAGGGAGATCTGGTGGCCTAGTGGGTAAGTAGTTGCACTGGCAACACAGAGTCAAGTGGTTCGAATCCACCAGTTGCTCTGCTGGAGAAAGATAGGCAGTCTCCATCTGTGAAATTTACAGCCTCTGAAAACCTGCTGGAGGGTCAGCTATGAGTCTGACTCAATGGCACTTAACAACAACAAATAGCATTTAAATAAGTGATTTTATGGTACTGGAAAATGCTTATACTTATGTTGATGTCCTCCCACAGCTCGTCCGGTCACCGTTTATTGGTGTTCAATGCCTCAAATCTGTTCTTTAGATGATTTTTTTTCTTCTCCCTGCCTCTTTTTTTTTTTAAACAGTCCCTCGGTAAGGACTATCCACTTAGCTTTGTATCCAAAGACGAAATTTGTAGGTGAAAGGAGTTAGGAGTTAGCCTTTGTTACAGACTGGTTCATTTCAGGGTCGAAAATATGGAACGCTTCACGAATTTGCGTGTCATCCTTGCGCAGGGGCCATGCTAATCTTCTCTGTATCGTTCCAATTTTAGTATATGTGCTGCCGAAGCGAGCACTCTTTAGATGATTTTTAAACTCAGCTCTTGTAAAGATCACAAGCTTGGAAACACGATGGGTTCATTCTACTCTGTCCTCCCGGGTCACTATGAATTAGAATATAGTCACCATCAGTGGGTCCAGAAAAGACTAGATTGTCAGTATTTTAAAAACCACCTGAGTTTAGAACCCACAGCCAAATGTTTGCATTCCATCAGGATGAGAAGCTCAAACCTTACACCTGTGTTCTCCCTTCTCTGCTTCAGGTACCGGATCTGGGGTTTTCACGTGTCTGAAGACGTATTTAAACACCAGTGCCACACGTGCTATCGGATCACCCGCCGCTTTGAGACCTGACTTTTGCAGAGAAATGGACAAAGCCGTCTCGTCACTGACTGCTGTGGTCAGCACGCACAGACAGGGCTAAGACCCAGGCAGAGATGCAGCATGCCACGTGGCCACCCACAGAGGGACCCAAGACTTGGCACCTGATTGTTCTCTGGAATCATAGGAAGTGGCAGCCTGGGCGGCCTCTAGTTTCCTTTTCTCTTCATAAAAGGAAGCTACTGTGCTGGAGTCCATAGTGAGCTGCACTGCTAATCACCAGAGGCTCAAATCCAAAAATGAGAGCAGTCTCCTCCCACGGTGATTACACAACAGAGGGTCACTATGAGTCACCACTGCGACTACACAACAGAGGGTCACTAAGAGTCACCACTTCCCTGAAACAGAGAAGGCAGAACACTGGCGTGGGGTCTGAGCTTCCCACTCTGACAGAATGGAAACTGACACATCTGGCTGTGGAATCTAAACTCTAGCAGTAAAGTTTTTGGTTTTTTTCTGGGCCTACTGCTGTCAAGTATATTCGAACTCACAGAGATACTACAGTTCAGAGTGGAATGGCCCCAAATAGGTGTGTCTTGGAGTGAGTGAAACCAAGCTTCTCCTTGGAGTCTAGGATTTTGAAGGTCCATCTCACACATGTGGGCATGTGGCCAGGAGGGACCAGTTCTTGGAGAAGGACATCATGCTTGGAAAGGGTGGAGGGACAGCCCAGGAGAGGGAGTGATGATTGAGGTGGATGAGATGGATTGAAACAGTAACTGGGGCAATGGGGGTAGGTGTGCTGGAGTTAGTGAGGCTTCAGAGCTATTGTATGGGCACAGGGTCGCTATGAGTCACGGGCAACTTGACGGCACAAAATAACAAGAAGATTGGCACTAAGTTGAGGGCAGGGAGAGTAAGAGTTTACCTAAGACCCTTCTGGGCTCATAGACGCTAACCCACATGTTAAGACGACGGCATGAGATCACTGGGTCTGACTCTCAGTCCATACGGGCTCCATGGCGCCACCAGGCCGCTCTGCACTATTTAAATGCAACTGAAGGCCCACTTAAGTGTGAAGTTTCATTTCTCTCTTCCTACTTGGTGGCTTGTTGTTGTTGTGTACTCCAAAGTCGGGACTGACTCACAGCTGACCCTCCAGTGGGTTTTCACAGGCAAAATCAACCACCTGAGAAGAACAGGTGATGGATTTGAACTGCCTGCCTTTGGGGCTGCAGCACAGCTCAACCACCAGAGCTTTCTGCTTAGTGGCTGAGAGGTAAAGACGTGTTCTCCCAGTGCAAAGGTACATGCTTTGGATCCATCAGCTGCTCTGCAGAAGATAAGCAGTCAACTCCCATGCGATTTACTGCCTCTGAAAACCCACTGGAGGGTCAGCTATGGGTCGCTTCTGACTCAAAAGCACACAAGGAAAGAGGAGAAATGTCATTTGTAGGATTTTTTTAATGTCCCCAACACTTTATTTAGATCACACCTCACTGAGCTGTCATGACCGCTCTGTGACAGTCTCTCACAACGGCCTGCATCACTTCACTGGTGACTGACCCAGGGGTGCACTAAAGATTGTATCATCTTTATTCCAGGAGGAAGGGCACTGAAGAAGGGAGGGGAGGAGATCAGGCAGGGAAGCTGCACAAAGTCTCGCCTTGAGAAGCAGGGAGGCAGAGAGAAGGTGTTCGCCAGGCTGAATCACTCCCTAGTTGGCCAGAAAAACAGACATCAGTGAACTTGGAAATTGCTGGAATGATACCACTCTCCTCACAGTTCTCATCAACCGCAGGACCCAGAATCCTCCTCACTGATGTTGCAGCCAGAGCAGCCAACCGCCACTAGGTGGCAGCAAAGCGCAGCCAGGACTAAGCCCCGCTGAGCCCTCCAGGAGGACCAGGGGCGGGAGGTCCACCTGGGAAAGGAGGTCCACCTGGGGCGGGAGGTCTACTTGGGGTGGGAGGTCCACCAGGGGCGGGACGTCCACCTGGAGCGGGAGGTCCACCTGGGAAAGGAGGTCCACCAGGGGTGGGAGGGCCACCTGGGAAAGGAGGTCCACCTGGGGCAGGACGTCCACCTGGGACGGGAGGTCCACCAGGGGCGGGAAGGCCACCTGGGGCAGGAGGTCCACCTGGGCCAGTTATTTCATTAACCTTGAAACAAAGGGACCCTGAACTTGGGACAGGTGAGCCTCATTTACCACATTATGGTGGAGTTTTATTCAATTCTCATTTTTCATAAAGAGAAACAAAGAGTGCGGGAATACAGTTGGTCAAAGTAGTTCTTTATCTTCTTTGGATAACAGTTTTGGAAATACTGAGTGATAAATTCAGAAACTTATTGAGAATCCACACCAAATCGACACTTCAGGGATGCTGTGAATGGGTATTTTGTATTGGCCTCCAGGGGCACCTTCAGTTTAAAATAGGAAAGAGCATCTCAGAAAGTCACTGGAGCCTGAAGAAAACCAGCAGTTAAGGATGTCACAGAGAGAGGCCAGCCATTGAACCAGACAATCACAAAGCTGAAATCTCAACACTCACCGCTCTCCATGGAAATAGAAACAATTTATTGCCTATTTTTGGGAAAGTAATTGGCCCTTTGCTGTAAGATTTACCACAAATTTCAGGTCCAGGAAACCTCCCTGAAAAGTGAAAATGGCATGTTTTCCCAACAATGGGCAGAGGCTGTGGAAAGGAAGTAAAAAAATAGATTGTGTTTTCACCAAGACGCCCCAGTTAGTCACGCTGATCCACCTGGGCTGTCCTGGGCGGACACCAACCACATGGCCCAATATGTGCGCAGATTTCAATTATTAAAATGAGCCAAAATCAAGAACTTGGGTCCCCTGCCACAGTAGCCACGTCTCCATGGCTGCGGCACCTGAACACGGGGTAGAACATTCCAGCTTGCCAGCAGCCACACAACATTCTCATTGTAGAAGGTTCCACCTGATCTACTTGTTCAATCTTTTCTGGCTAACTCCTAAAAAAGAGAAAGCCCAGTGAGGGCTCTAATCACTGCACACCTTGGGGTTTCCTCACGAGAAAGCCAGGGCAGCGCTCTAACCACTGCGCAACCTGGGGTTTCCTCACAAGAAAGCCCTGTGAGCACTAACCACTGCACCACCTACCTGGGGGGGGGTCCTAACGAGAAAGCCGGGGAAGGGGAGTGCTCTAACCACAGTACCACCTGGGGTTTCCTACGGAGAAAGAGGGGGCGGGGGCACTCTAAACCCTGCACCACCTGGGGGTTTCCACATGAGAAAGCAGGGGGTGGGGAAGCACTCTAGCCACTGCACCACCTGGGGGGATTCCTCATGAGAAAGCGGGGGGGGGG